GATATGTTTTGGGCAACATAACTGGTGGACAGAGTCTGTTAGAGGAAATGAAACACAGTCTTTTCGGTGGCTATGAAAGTAAAACGTGTATAAAGAAATCAAACATTTTTCTTCACCTGCTTTATTTCTGATCTGGGCACCGTCTCTAGGCTGAGTGTGCGAGAGGAGCAAAGTCACACTGTCCCTAAGGAGGTCACGGTCCAGTGTTTAAAGTCTTCGGAGTAAAGGAAAAAATTGGGCTTCTTTGATCACTGTGTAAGAATCCCCAATCTAAAAGTAAAAGAGAGTGGTTCTTAGGTTGGGAAAGCCTTAGAGTCAGCAATGGAGGTCACAGAAGCTACCACCTGGGCTCTAACCCCAAGAGATGTAGTTGGTGTGAGGCCCCAGAATCTGCATTTCTTACATCAAACCCAGGTGATTCTGATGCAAGTGGGCTGCAGACCAATTTCAACATATTGCTCTCTAACATCGACCCAAAGGTGTGAATAAAGTGGGTTTCCTTTAAGGGAGCATCTTTAACTGCAAAGCGTGGAAGTCCTTCCCCAAATGTGGCACCGAGATCTGCAACTAACCCTCGGCAAGTATCCTTAGTCATGTCCTTCCAGGAACTAACACAAAGCTATCGCTCCACAATGATTTCCTAGAAAGAGTTCAACAACACGGACAGCAGCAACCACAAAACCCTCAAACACCATCCTCCCCACCACCTCCAGTAACAAATAGATCCATCCAAAGACTCACACCTGAGGCAGACACGGGTCCTACTTTCATGGTAGACGGACTGACCCCACGTGTGCTGTCACACTTGGTTGTTTAAGTCTTCCCATGAGTGCCTTTGGCTGTCAACAGAGCAACTCGCTGGCCCAATCCGCAGAACGGATGACGAGTCTGTAAATAAGTAGGACACAGAAGCCCAGAGCGAGGCTGTGCAGCCCCGTGATTATTCCAGGATCCGGACAATTCCTCCCCCATCCCTGTGCTGCCGGGCCTGGTCGCAGAATCAGTACTCATGAGAACTCGGTGCTTCCATAAAGTTCGTTTTATGTCCGTGACATTTAGAAAAGCAACAGCCTATGACGCCCTATAAAGCTCAGGTCTGCTCGGGATCCAGGCACAGATCACTTTTGGGGGAAAGCCGTAAACGCCATGCTTCCATGTTCGCTCTCTGTGACATGCTGAAAAGTAGCTCTGTGCCTTAAGAGAACTCACGCCACAGAAACGTAGCTGTGAGAGGAGGGGGTTCTCCCGTATTTTTCCTTTTGTAAGTTATGTCCTTGCCCTCCTTGGGAAAGGAGCACAGCCCACTCTTGAAAAGTAAACAGTCAATCTCTGTGACCACCAGTGGCTTCCACTTTGCATAAGAACGTGCTGAGCCTGTGTGCAGGGAACAGACTTTGAATGTTACAGAAAAGAAGGGAAAGAAAAAAGATGGCGGGTGATGAGGTGAAGAAAGGCAAAAGAAATGTAGATGCGATTCAATTTCCTTACACCTTGCAGCCCACTGGTCAACAGCTGACACAGGACCTCCTCAAGGAACTCACAACTGCCTTAATGTTAACGCTCTGCTGGACGCAAAAACCAACCTCGGCTTGAGGCTAACCAGACCTCCAGGGTCCTGTAAGCCTTCTGGAACGTATGGAACTCCTGACGGAAACTTCATTGGGCTCTACGCCCCCATCCTCCCCCACCCCCAAATTAAAACTTTATAACCAGTCACACCTCACAATCCCAGTGCAGCTCTTCCTGTCCCCCTGTCCTGTCCTGTCCTCATGCTTTTTATACACACCTTTTTGCACCGAGAACGTCTCACAAAGTCTTTGTTTTGTTTTGTTTTTTAGTTTATTTATTTTGAGGGAGATACAGGGAGAGAGAGAGAGAAAATCCCCAACAGTCTCCCTGCTGTCAGCACAAAGCCTGACTCTGGGCTCAATCTCACAAACCTGTGAGATCAGGACCTGAGCCAAGAGCAAGAGTCAGATGCTGAAGCCACAGAGCCACCCAGGTGCCCCGAGAATTCTTTCTGAACCTTTCACTCCTGGCGCACCTCACATCGGCAGGTACCTAACCTAACACTTCACCGTGGAAGAGCAGCGCTTGGCCGGGCCACCTAAGACTCACGACCTGCAGCATTTATACAGAATTGATTCCATCCCGCAGATCTAACTACCGCTGACGTGATGAGCCAGACACCTGACATGGGTTGTCTGTCGCCGGGGTACCGACTCACCGCGAACTTAGAGGCTTAAAAGGACACACGTTTGTTACCTGACAGTTCTGTGGGTGAAAAGTCCCAAAAAGGATCTCACCAGACTCAGATGGAGATGTCAACAGGGCCACCGCCCCTTCTGGAGGCTCAGGGAGACTGAGCAATTTAATCCAGGGAAAGCTCACTACAGTGCAGTCGGGAGGTTTTGGCAAGGGAGCGCCTGTGTCCCGCCCGCCCTGGTTTCCTCTGTCTCCATCTTCCGCACCACCAGCTACAGCAGGCAGACATCTCCTCCTCTGCCTCCTCCAGGTTGAAGGCACCCCTGTAATTCCAGGGGGCCGCCCGGATATTCCAGGACGATCTCCCCATCTCAGGGTCCTTGACCTAAGCACCTTCGCAGAGGCCCGTTTGCTGTGTGATGGATCATTTTCACAGGATCCGGGATGAGGCTGGGGACCTCCCAGGCAGGGGGCATCCTTCCGCGGACCACCACATTATTGACTCAGGTGACAACTAATGTCACACGCCCGCCGCCCCCCCCCCCAGGTCTCTTCTAATTTCAGCAGTCTAGTAAAAGTCAAGCACACGTCAAGGCCCAAGGGAGACAAAGGCAAATCAGAAACCAGAACGCGAGGGACAGGACCAGGAAATTGCCCCAGGACTAGTCTCTTCCCAGTAGGTGCTGCCTGGCTTTCCAGACCTGGCTTTTCCCCACGGAAGGGGGACTTTGCTGGCGAAAATCTCCTCCAAGGGGAAGCGCGCGGGGGGGGGGGGGGGGGGGAGGAAGGGACGGCAGAGGCAGAGCGGGGCGCCCGGGACCCCACTAACCCCTGCTGTGACCTCTGGCAGTGGGGGGAGCGTCTAAGTGAGCTCAAGGCAGGTTTCCGTGGACCCGACCCCGCCTCAACCCGGGCATCCTGGGGCGCCACCCCCCGGGCGTCCACCAGGGGGCGCCGCGGCCCCGCCCCGCCCCGCCCCGCCCCGCGAACGCACCTGTAAAGCAGCAGGCACGCGGCAGTTCTCAAACGACAGGTGTGGGTTCGGTCCCCCCGCGCTGGTGTCCAGCCCTGGTGCGGGGGGGACTGGCTTGGCGGCTGAGCCCCTCAGGTGGAGCCATCGCACTGTGTCTCCTTCAAACCGGGCTCTGGGCAGAGACAGAGCGAGAGACAGAGCGAGCGAGGTGTGTGGGCGCTTCTCCGGCTGGGGGACGTCCTCCCTCGTGTTCCTCTCAGGCGGGCGCAGTCGGCCCGCTGCTGCCCGCCGCGTGGGCGCCACGACGGGCGCAGGGGGGGGCTGCGGGAGCTGCATGGAGAGGGAAGACGAGCGGGAAGCAAATCAGTGTGGAGGGGAGAAGACGGAGGAGACCCGCAAGGAGAGGAGGGAGGCGGAGGCGGGAGGAAGAGGAGAAGCCTCAGCGCTGAGATCCCGGCGGGAGCGGAGCTGGGGGCAGGGAGACGGCGTGCGCGGGGAGCCGGGTGACGCGGGGAGGGGCGGGGAGTGAGGCGGGGCCGTTGCGTCCTGACCGGGGCGTGGCCTTATGGAAATGAGGCCGCGGTGGGCGCGGTAGAATTCTACCGGGCGGTAGAATTCCCCGGGCTGTGGAAGTGCCCGAGCTGTGGCTCGGCTTGTCTGAGGACGACGTGTGTGCGGTGAGGATGGTTGAGACGGGAGTGGGTGCGGAGGGTTTTGGGGTGCGGGGAGGGCAGTGACCGTGTGTGTACAGTGGGGTGCGTGTGAGGCTGGGTTGGGGCGGAGGGGGAGGAAGTCATACTTACCTGGCAGGGGAGACACTATGATCAGGAAGGTGGTTTTCCCAGGGCGAGGCCTACCCATTGCACTGCGGGCGTGCTGACCCCTGCGATTTCCCCAAATGTGGGAAACTCGACTGCATAATTTGCGGTAGTGGGGGACTGCGTTCGCGCTCTCCTCTGGTCAGTGGTCTTTCAAAGTCAGATGTGTGTTTGAGTGCTTCGTTGCCTTGTTTTTCTCCTTACTTTAAAGTGTTTCTTTACAGCAGAGTAAATTGCTGCTGTTCTAGACAGTTCTTTACTTGTACTAGCTTTGGTATTGGTCTCCTGTGTGGTTGGTTGTTTCCCACTTTTGGCGGTGGGAGCAATGTCCCTTGGGGGGTTCGAACTGTTCCTTACTGTCACCCTGATCCTGATACAAAGGCTTTTTTCCAAAAGCCTTTTTAAAAAGGGCGGGAGGGCTCTGATCCCTCACCACACATGTGGCGCCAGGACTGGAAGTGGGAGCTCAGGACCTGACCTCAGCTGGGTTATGAGCTGGAGCCCAAGTCAGATGCTTGGTTTGCTTGCAGTCTTGATGCTTAACCAACGGAGCCTCCTAGGCGCCCCACGTGTTCACATTTCTTAGGGATGGCCTCAGTGCTTTCTCTGCAGGAGGGGAGGGAAGTGGGGCTGCAGTGCTCAACCATTGCCTGACCTCCCCATTTTCTGCCAGCAGGTACAAGAGACCTCCCAGGAGCCTAAGGCCAGTGCTACTCGGAGGGGTCTTTGGGGAAAAAAAAAAAAAAAAAGAAAATCACTCCAGGGCTGCCTGGGTAGCTGAGTGGTTGAGAGTCCGACTTTGGCCCAGGTCATGATCTCAGGGTTCCTGAGTTTAAGACCCGCCTCCTGCTCTGGGCTGACAGGTCTGAGCCTGGAGCCTGCTTTGCATTATGTGTCTCCCTCTCTGCACTGCGCGCGCTCTCTCTTTCAAAAACTAAATAAGAACCCTTAAAAAAAGAAAAAGAAAAAAGAAAAACACTCTGAAAGGAGGGGATTATATGGAAAAGACAAAAAGAATCACAGAGGGATTTGATTGGGTTTCCACAGGGTCCCCATGGGTTGGGGGAAAGGGGACTCTCACACAACAGGGACTCTCACACAACAGGAACTCAGGAAACATGCACACAGGGATTGGAGCATATGGAAGGCATTTCACACATCTGTAGACATTTTGCCTCACGTGGAAATCGTGGTATGTGCTTGGCCGTCATAAGGTGCCTGAATCAGGAAATCTGGAGGTACTCTCCCTGAGGAAAGGATGGGGCAACTACCTTTGTCCTTGCAGAGCCAGAGCCATTCTGAGCCCTGAGAGAATCTTACATGTTGACTGACATTCCAATTCAAGATCAACGCAGAGACCCTACACTTTTAAGTTTGTTGGGTTTCCCGTGTGTGGCCAGAGGTCCCCTGGCGGAGAACAGTTGACACGCAGAGTACAGAAGTAGGCCAAGAAACAGACTATGACCTGCATATACCACATTACTTACCGCCCTCACTAGTCTCACTGAACATGGGAGTGGGCATTTCAATACCTGGTATTCAACGAGGTTTATGGAAAAAAAATACTGGAACGTTTGGGTTAATAGTTTACATTGTTGTGTCCACATTGAATTCCATGGGCAGTGAAGAAAGTTTTCTAGGTTCCGAGTGTGGAAATGAGGGGCTAAAGGCTAAAAAACAATTCTACAACTCGATGTAACTTTGGTAACTTAGTATCTTTCACACTTGACACAGTTTTCTTTCATTTTGTCTGATGCCCTGCTCCCCTGAGTAAGTCTAAGTGTATTTGTACAAGAAAGTTGCTATCGATATGAAAGGTAAAATCCATACCATTGCGTTTGGCCCTGCTTATTCCTAACGGTGTTTTAGGCTGGTTTCTAACTGCTTGTAGCCACGTTATGGCTCACTCTGAAGGCGGCCCATTCTAGCCACAGGCACACTTCTCCTTGGCCCACCTCTAGTCTAGGTTAAGCAGACCCTCTGAGCTGGCTCCCTCACTGGGGGAAGGATGTAGGTCAAGCAGGTAATAAAGGGAAATGGAGAGAGGATGCTTAACCCAGGCATTGTCATGAGTAGGATGGACAATGTGGGAGGACTATGGCAATGCTAAAATAACATGCCTGGCGATATCTCTCTCACTTGCGCTCTCTCTCTCTCTCTCTCTCTCTCTCTGCAAACTTACACTGCCCAATGAGCAATGCTGGGAGAAACCGTTGTATCTCTTCTCGGAGGAAGAAGATTGGATTCCTGTTGATGTATAAGCTCAGCCTAAAAACTCCACCCAGACAATTTGGACAGAACAGGAACTGGGTTCCTTGAGGTTGCTCAGTTCCTTCAGTGACGCTGGCCTGGAAAGAAAGAAAGGTACCCCAGTCAACTTGCCGCATAAACATCGAGTGAGGAACCTCTTGGCAAACACACTCATGGTAGTTAGTGTAGGGAGAGTCCTTACCTACGACATGCCTGTAAGTGGGAGGGATCTCGTGTGAGCAGAACCCTGTAGGGACTCAAACATATGCCCGTGGATTTCTGTAGCTTAGTTTCCTGGAAACTGTCGCATCAGTTATGTGAGTATCAGCCTAGCAGATGACTTCTACCAGGTTCATCGACTTCAACCAGATTCATTGGGTACAAGTGACGACTTCATGCAGCACTCAGAGAGCACGTATGTTAACTCGGGGCCAGAACACGTCCTAAGGTGGGAAGAAGTTTCTTGCAGTTAGTGTTGGTTGTCCGAGATTTCTTGTTGCTTTGCTTGTGCCTCACACAGTTAATTTTATCCTTGAAAATGTACATCAAACTTGATACCAGAGAAGATTTTGGGTTTGGTGGGTCTGATTTGGCCATGCAGTATTTTTTGTGTGTCCTTTTCAGATGGATGTGCTCTGATGCAATTCTCTGACTGTTCTTAAAGCACTCATCATGGCCAAGATAAACAGGGATAATCTGTGAGCAAAGCGACTGGTGGATCACGGATTAAATACGTAGTGGCCTTTATGGCCACATTTCTTGCTGGCACGTCTTCCAAAATCACGTATTGTTCTTTTTGCATGTGCCCATTTGTGACTCCGAAAGGCCAGAGCCACCTTTCCCTGCCACCCTGTGGTCCTTGTCCTCAGTTCCCTACAAGTTCAGGATGATGACAGCTGTCATTAAATCCCAAACAGGAGAAAGCCCATATATTGTAACTCTCTGTCCCTTAGTAAATGTTAATTTCCCATATTAGGAAAGGAGCAGAGATAAGAGAATATCAAGTACAGTGAGCACTCTTACCTTGAGGAGGTACATCGGCCTTGGGGAAATCTGCCACACCACGAGTGAAAACTTGTTCCCTGTCTCCCTGGCATAATCTTAGGAGAAACGTAACCTTAGGAGAAATTTCGGATTTCCCTTCAGCCAAATCAGCAGGAACATACATCCCATGAAACAAGTGGGGGTTTATAATCATCGCAGCCAGAAAGATCTCACCCCACGGTCTCAGTAAGAGAGTGGTAGAAACAACCACACATGACAGGATTAGGGCTGTGGTTGGTTGATGGCGGGGAGGCTGGAAGGAAGCAGGGTCTGCTCTACCTTGAACACTGGTAGCCTGCACGGGCCCGTCTTGACTGCGGTGAGAGTCAGCAGTCATTTCCTTACGAAAAGAGGAGGGTGTTTGGGGCGTTGTAGTTTGCACGGTGACCTGGTGTTTGTGGGGCCTGCTTGGAATAATCAGGTAGTCTTGTTGTGTCTCATTGTCTCAGGGTTCAGAGTCTCTTTGAGGTTGAGATCCTGTATCTGAGACTGTTTATTCCCAGCGTGAGAACAAAACCGTCAGGCCGGGATGTCAGCAGGGCCATTCAGGACATCAGAGGCTGGACTTGTTCTTTCTCCCTGGAAATCCCTAAGCTAGAGGTCAAGAAAGAGAGCACTCTGGGCTCACAAGCTGTAGGTGCGAGCCTGGCTGAGTTACAGTGTGACTTTGCCTGAGTGTCTTGAATTTTCCTTTCTGTGGCTCAGTGTCTCATTTCAAAATGGGGCCAATGGGGTTTCTCCTACACGAGTCGTCCCCGGTGTTACAGGAGAGGTGCAGGTGAAGCACTGAGCCCAGTGCCTGGCGGGGAGTAAATACTCAGCACGTATTAGGTCCG